GGTGAAATTCAGAGTGTAACTGATATTCCTCATGACTTACAAAGCCGGCTAGAAATCCTTGGGCCTGGCCTGCAAAGACAGGGCTAAGCTTATGGTAGGCCAACAGCAGAGGGGATATCTCTGCAGGCAAACTGATTCCAGAATGAGCTACGAAAATAGCAGCCAGACAACACATACTTGGCTTTTTACCTCCAAACTCACCAATTGAGAGTGGTCAATGGAGTGTATAGAAAGACTAAAACACAGTAAGAAATACCAAGAATGGAGAAAATAGTTTTATACAAAAAAAGTATGTCTTTGAGTGATTTGGATAACATTCATAATACTGTAATTTTTAAAATATAGAATTAATGTTTTTGAATAGTCTATAGAGTTATGCATAGCTTCAACAGTACCAGAAAAGCTAAAAGAAAAATGAGAACAAATTTTAAATGAGAACTGTAAGTCAGGAATCAGGAAAAAAAATATATAACGATTAGGAAGAAACTTTTAGAAGAAGGGAGAGCATGAAGAATGATTTAAAGTCTGAAAAAATAACAAAGAGTAATGTAATTTGAAGAAAATAAAATAGGGGAACAGATATGAAGAGATGTGAAGTGGAATTTTTAAAAACAAGAATATTTTCAACCATAATACTTTAAAATTTTCCATTAAAGCATGAAATAATTCATAACATTGGTTCATTGGAATGACACACATAGAAATATCTGACGGCAGTCAGAAATATAAGAATTAACAATTACTCGTATACATATATATATGCCTCATTCTGTGTTTTAGTGTGTATTATATTACCCTCTTTTCATTCTAGTTTTGAATATTTTCAAATTATTTTCTTGAATATGTTTGTTGTAGTCAAAACCATGGCCTCCCAAAGATATCCATGGAATCCGTGGATGTTTTGCATTTTACGGAATAATGAAATTTTAATATATGATTATGATTATGAACATTGAGGCAGAAAGATTATCCTGTCTTATTTGGATTGGTCCAATGTAACTTCATGCACTCTTAAACATGTGGAGACCTTTCTCAGGTTTGATAAAGAGAAGAGTTGAAGTGTTAGTCCTCACAAAGCAAAGGAAAGAGAGCTCTTTTATTAAGAGGGAAAAGGAAGTTGGGAGGACTGTGGAGAACAGGGAGCCCAAGGCCTTTCTTTGGCTAAGTCCCTGCCAGGAAAGAAGAGGAGAAGAAGTTACCACAAAACTTCATAGGAGGTGAGATGGTTGACTGAGAAATGTTGAGTGTTATGAGAATTCAGGGAAGTGCCTACTGCATCAGGTACAAAAATGGTTAAATGGGAACACAATCATTTTCTTAGTGACTTTAACCAAAAGGGCAGTGACAGTGATGGCTCTAAGGCAAGGGTGGTATCCTCATCCCACAAAGTCCAGTTGATGACTATAGTGCCCTATGGGTCAATGATGGTCCCTGAATTTTGGGGTGAGTACCCCTAGGGCATTCCTTTCCTTTTCATATAAAAAAGAAAAAAGGGAATCCGATCATTAGAATGCACAAAGGCAGATGGCTTCATCAGACTCCTTAAGGGTATGTCTTCCAGTTCTTTCCAAAATAATTGGGTTGGGGTTGTTATTATTTAGTAAAACATACAGAGATTTGAGCTGTCCAGGAGGCTCAGTGGTAAAGAATCTGCCTGCCAATGCAGGATACACAAGAGACACAGGTTCGATCCCTGGGGTGGGAAGATACCCTGCAGAAGGGCATGGCAACTCACTCCAATATTCTTGCCTGGAGAATTCCATGGACATAGGAGCCTGGCAAGCTACAGTCCATGGGGTCACAAAGAGTCGGACATGACTGAGGAACTGAGCACACAGCACGCACAGAAGTTTGGCCATAAAATAGAAATTTGGAATCCAATTTCAGCAATAACCAACCGGCTCAAAAAATTTGCAGCTGACACTGAGTTAGGGGTTTTGGAAATTTAGGATGTTATGATGTCTACAAGGCTCTAGATCTAGCCCTCCTGATTTCAAGATGGCTTAAATACTGAATCTGGGTTTGGGAAAATAGCAATTTTTCTTTGACAAAGTTGTGTCATTTTAATGCTAAAAGCTTTATCAAATTGATGCTGTCTTCCTGTGAGAAGTTTTGACTATTTTCCATTGGTTTATTTTTCTTAATGATTCTTTGGATCTGTTACAAGATTAAAATTTATCCCTTTGTTATATGTTGTAAGTCTTCTCTTTTCCTTTATATTTTTATACATCAACCATGGCATTTCTTCTAACTATATAACAATTTGTTCTTTATATGCAGGTAAATTTATCCCTTTTTAATCTCATGACTTTCAAATTTTCATTCTTCTGAGAAAGAGCAGTTCTATTAAAAAAATGTCTATAAAACAATCTATTGTTTCCTCCATGGATAAGCAGTAACACATTTATTAATATGGATTTCAGTATAATTTTAGACTCTTATTTTCTGCTGAACTATTTAACCATATTGCATTATTTTAATTAAATTATATGCATTTAAAATATATGTAGATAGCAAGTATCTTCTAAATGTACTACTTTTTTTTGCTATTATTGCAAATGTATTTTTTTATATAGGAAAATTAAAACCTGCTTCTAAAGTTCAGAATGCTATAGAATTTTTTACACTTATTCAGTTAAATGTGTAGATTATATACTATGTTCACTGAGAAACTTGTATGATAGGTCTTTCTGCCATTTTGTTCTATTCTGATAGCTCTTTATTTTTAGTGCTATGGAAAAATGAACTATCTGAACATTTTTTTCAGAATCTTTGAGATTTTCTGTGTCCTCAAAATTGTGAAATTATTGTGCCCATTCAATGGGCCCTTAAGAAATAATTTGGGAGAACTTGAAACTCTATAATACTGATCATTCTTGCTTGGGGCATGGTATACCATTCCTTTACCAGATATACTTTAATGAATATTTTAAAATATAATGTTTGCTATTCTTATTTTTGCTTACACCCTCTGTTGATTCATTTCTGATTATTAATTAGGTTTAAATACAATGCATTATTCCTGAGTCTTGCTGTGTATAGGTCTATGAATAGGAGAAATGATGGCAGTGTTCTTGTTCTTAGGAATCCTCCCTGTAGACCTAAAGAAACTTGATTGAATGCTTGAAAATTGACTTCAGATTCCCTGCTCACTGGCTTACACACATCGGGAACTTTGGATCACAATTCAGTATCTCTCACTTTTGTAACCTCTGCAATAGACTGTTTGCTTATTAACTCCCTGTTTTCTGCTAGTGTTGAGAGGAAACAACAACCATAAAAGTCCCTATGTATCCTGCCCTGCTGCTCTTCACAAGGACAGCTCTTTACTGCTTATCTACCTCCACTGATAAATCTTAACATTCTCCAGGCTTCATCTGGGATCTGCAACCAGCTCCCTGTTGGATGTTTTCAGTTCAGTTCAGTTCAGTCACTCAGTCGTGTCTGACTCTTTGCAACCCCATGAACTGCAGCAAACCAAGCCTCCCCTGTCCATCACCAACTCCTGGAGTCCACCCAAACCCATGTCCATCGAGTTGGTGATGCCATCCAACCATCTCATCCTCTGTCATCCCCTTCTCCTCCTGCCTTCAATCTTTCCCAGCATCAGGGTCTTTTCAAATGAGTCAGCTCTTCGCATCAGGTGGCCAAAATATTGGAGTTCCAGTTTCAACATCAGTCCTTCCAATGAACACCCAGGACTGATCTCCTTTAGGATGGGCTGGTTGGATCTCCTTGCAGTCCAAGGGACTCTCAAGAGTCTTCTCCAACACCACTGTTCAAAAGCATCAATTTTTCGGCACTCAGCTTTCTTTATAGTCCAACTCTCACATCCATACATGACTACTGGAAAAACCATAGCCTTGACTAGACGGACCTTTGTTGGCAAAGTAATGTCTCTGCTTTTTAATATTCTGTCTAGGTTGGTCATAACTTTCCTTCCAAGGAGCAAGCGTCCTTTCATTTCATGGCTGCAATCACTATTTGCAGTGATTTTGGAACCCAGAAAAATAAAGTCAGCCACTGTTTCCACTGTTTCCCCATCTATTTGAAGTGTTGGATGGTTTAAATGTGTCTATTTCTCACAATTGGGCTTTCCAGGTGGCTCAGAAGTAAAGAATCTTCCTGCCAGTGCAAGAAATGAGAGTTTAATCCCTAGGTGGGGAAGAGCCTCTGGAGAAGGAAATGGCAACTACCCACTCCATTATTCTTGCCTGGGAAATCCCACGGACAGAGGAGCCTGGTGGGCTACAGTCCATAGGGTCACAAAAGAGTCAGATATGACTTACCAACTAAACAACAACATTTCTCACAATAAATAATTCACATATTATTACTAGAATTTGGAAATGAGTAAATTTAATAGTAAAAAACATTAAACCACTTAGCTAAATCTACACAAACAGTCAATGAAGGGACCATCATTTAAACATAAGTATGTGATCACAAGAGAAATACTTTTTATTCCCCCCTCACTTATTTCTTTTACTTTCTCCTCTGTATTTCCCAGAATGAGCATTACATTTAATTTCATATGGTGGTTACCTAATGAAATCTATAATTAAAAAGAAAGCTATTGCTTTTTATTACATAATTAAATCTTAATAATGTAATGTTTTCTAAACATCTTTCTATTTTGAAAAGAAATTTGTACTAATGCATTTCATAGATTTTTAGCCAATCTTCTGTGAATATCAGCTCCCCAAAGTTCAGGACTCAAATCACTGGGAAGGAAGTCTTTTCCATGAGAAATATCATTTTCAGAAAACACAGATGGTGAGGAAATTTAGTTAGAGCCTGTCAGGATTCTGACTTCAGAATTGCTGAGTCTGGCTGGAGAATGTATACTAGAAAAACAGCAGTCTCCTGGTAGATGCCTGAGTGAAATAGCAGGACATATTTCTGCAGTATCAACCCATTGAGTTCAGTCCCTTGATACAGCCTCAGAATTTTGGATATTTTACAGCTGCTCGATTTCAGAGTAAAAGACAATTTCTCACCTGTATGGTTTAATCCTTTGGAAAAGAGAGCACAAATATTTGGACGGCAAATAGGTCAGCTAGCACAACTGACCAGCTGTACTGACGGTGGTTATATAAATAAATCAGGAAGACATTCATGTGATTCATCACTGTCTGCTTTTCCTGTGTACAATAAAAGCAAGAAACAAACATTGATTTTACTAAGAATAAAATCAATTGGAACAGAACCAATCGCTTGCTGTCAGCTACAAATTCTCAACCACCCTATTATCAACACTTCCATTTAAAACCACAATACAGATTGAAACGCTAACATATTAAATGAACACTCTTGAATTTTATGTTTATATTTTAAAATGTAAATTAATTTTTTAAAATAAGGGAAAATAAAATTACCTGTTATGTTTCATCATTTCTTATCAGCCATGTAATTTAGACCTTGATATAAATAGGTGTATTGTTTTCATAATGACAAAGAAGGTGAGAGTGTTTTTATTTTTTTAATTGCTATTTAATTATATTTGGCATTATATTGTATATCACCACTGATTGTGTGGACTTACTCCTAACACTATTAATTTAGAATGAACCTGTTGTGGGAATATTCAGAGTTGACCTTTTATATGGAATTTGAACTCAACATATGCATTTAAGAGTAACTCTTAAATGCATTACCTGATGGCTCAGTGGGTAAAGAATCTGCCTGCAATGCAGAAGACACAGAAGACAAGAGATCCATCTAAGGGTCTGGATGATCTGTTGGAGGAGGAAATGGCAACCCACTCCAGTATTCTTGCCTGAAAAATTCCATGAGCAGAGGAGCCTGGCAGACTATAGTTGAAAGGGTCACAAAGAGTCACACATGACAGAGTGACTAAGCACTAATTCATTATTTTTTGTAAATTAATGTCTGTCAAATATCTTTTCAAATTAGCCCTAAAAGAATCTGAAGTAAAGAAAGTAAAGAAGATAATATTTTATCAAAGTTTATCAATCAGTGAACATAACCTTACCCAGGTGAAAGTATGAAAAATACTTCTCAACTTAGGAGTGGAGATCTCGCCAATACCTGATAGCCATCATTCTTTGGTTAATGGAGTATCTGGACTTTTAGATTAATGGTTTAGTGGAAATGACATTTCTTTTTCCTCCAGGAAATTTACATGAAGTACTTTTATAAGAATGATTTCTTCTTGTTTTCCACCTTATTCATAAACTTAACTGTTAAGGCAAACAAGAGTACATAGAAACAAAAAGAGAAGTTTGGGCTAATAAAAATGTGATCCAATGGCTAACAATGTGTACTTAAGGAGTAATTATCTACTGAGGTAAATATAGTAGCAGTTTGAAATGACTGAAAGTACAAATTGTTTTGTAAATGAGTTTTGTACATTAAAATTATCTCCTTAAGATGTGCTTCAAATTTTATTTCTGCTTATGTCTTTAATTTATGTGCTTTCCTACCAGCTGATTACTTGAGTCAAGAATTACTTCCACTATTTAAATATAATTTTTTCCCCTGTCTTGTTAAATCTCAGTTGGGTGTTCTCCCTTCCCCTCTGATGACTTAATCAGTGCTCAAAGCGAAACAAAACAAAGCTCTGAATGGAATTGTTTCCAAACTTTCAAGGGACTTTAAAATATGCATGAAGAGTAAGTTATCTTATTGAAAGTATTTCCATTGTTTCATGAATATTTCACTTTGTTTCTCTAGTCCATAACCAGGGGCATATTTTTATTCCCAGTCACTTAGTTTCCATATTTGCAATCTATTGCATGCTATTATTGCATATAACAAAAATGTGAAAACATCAGCAGAAAAAACATCAGAAAATGTTATCATCTTTAAAATGAAATCTTATATATTACAAGTAAAGATACATTTTTTTCTTTAATTTTTATAAAAGTTGCTAGCATGTTGCTATGGCCTTTAAACTGTTCAGTTTAATGGAAATCATAGTATAAATGCACTTTGCAAAATTTATTGAATAAACTACTTATTGTACATGCCATTTTTATTAACTATTGTTTTAATTAAACATGTTAATTAAAATTAGCTACATTGAATATGAAAGTGACAAAATTGCTTCTATCTTTCTGCTCATCCTTCCTTATCTATATTGTCAGAAAGGCTCATCATGTGACTGGTATTCCAATTGACAAGAAACAGTTCAAAGTGATGAAAAGATATGCTTCTTCCATAGAAAAGTACAAATCAGAATCACAATATCTTTTGGTCAGTATTTCATTTGCCATCATTTAGTCATATGGTCATACTCAGTTGGAGGGAAGTTTGTGAATGTATTCTTGTTGGATGGTCACATGAGCAATGCAGAATGAACACAGTGAAAAAATTAGCCATCTTTACCAAACCAACTTGCTTAGTGTATGTTGGCCTTCATTGCTTATTTGAGTAATGCATAATAACATATGACCAGTATGTTCTCCTGGCAAAACTCTATTAGCATTTGCCCTGCTTCATTCTGTACTCCAAGGCCAAATTTACCTATTACTCCAGGTGTTTCTTGACTTCCTGCTTTTGCATCCTAGTCCCCTATAATGAAAAGGACATCTTTTTTTTGGCTGTTAGTTCTAAAAGGTCTTGCAGGTCTTCATAGAACCATTCAACTTCAGCTTCTTCAGCATTACTGGTCAGGGTATAGACTTGGATTACCGTGATATTGAATGGTTTGCCTTGGAAACAAACAAAGATCATTCTGTCGTTTTTGAGATTGCATCCAAGTAATGCATTTCGGACTCTTTTGTTGACTATGATGGCTACTCCATTTCTTCTAAGGGATTCCTGCCCACAGTAGTAGATATAATGGTCATCTGATTTAAATTCACCCATTCCAGCCCATTTTAGTTCGCTGATTCCTAGAATGTCAACGCTCACCTTTGCCATCTCCTGTTTGACCACTTCCAATTTGCCTGATTCATGGACCTAACATTCCAGGTTCCTATGCAATGTTGCTCTTAACAGCATCAGACCTTGCTTCTATCACCAGTCACATCTACAACTGGGTGTTGTTTTTGCTTTGGCTCCATCCCTTCATTCTTTCTGGAGTTATTTCTCCACTGATCTCCAGTAGCATATCGGGCACCTGCCAACCTGGGGAGTTCATCTTTCAGTGTCCTATCTTTTTGCCTTTTCATTCTGTTCATGGGGTTCTCAAGTCTCAAGTCCATCTAGTCAAGGCTATGGTTTTTCCAGTAGTCATGTATGGATGTGAGAGTTGGACTACAAAGAAAGCTGAGTGCCGAAAAATTGATGCTTTTGAACTGTGGTGTTGGAGAAGACTCTTGAGAGTCCCTTGGACTGCAAGGAGATCCAACCAGTCCATTCTAAAGGAGATCAGCCCTGGGTGTTCATTGGAAGGACTGATGTTGAAGCTGAAACTCCAATATTTTGGCCACCTGATGTGAAGAACTGACTCATTTGAAAAGAGCCTGATGCTGGGAAAGATTGAACACAGGAGGAGAAGGGGATGACAGAGGATGAGATGGTTGGATGGCATCACGGACTCAATGGACATGAGTTTGGGTGAACTCCGGGAGTTGGTGATGGACAGGGAGGCCTGGAATGCTGCAGTTCCCGGGGTCGCAAAGAGTAGGACACAACTGAGTGACTGAACTGATAATAATATATAATGAATAATTCATAATGTATATTTTGAATAATGTATGTAAATGGTTTGTTTTTCTTACTGTTTTCACTCCAAATATTTAGGAAAAGTCATTGTATTTTATGTTTAAAAGTGCTCTATAATTCATGTAAAATGGCATATGAATATGACACATTAGTCTATAAATTAGAAAGAAAGCTTTAATTATTATTTAAGTTAATTATTATTTAAGTACACAAGTAATTCTATTTTCTGCTTTTATGCTTTCACTGAGATTCTTAATTAGATGGCAAAAAATTCTTCACAGTTCAAAATGCATGTTCCTTTTCAGAAAATCCTTCTTTCTGGAATGTTATAACATGCAAAAATTGTGAATTACATTATTATATCATTTGCTTACTCTTACTTAAAAGAAGCAAATGAGAGTGATTCAAAGGAAAATTTTCAACATCTCATTTTTAGTGATAACAGATACCTAAGAACTGTTAGCTTTAATCTCTTGGTCAAGAAGTAAATACCTTTTCATTACCTAGATACTTTAGCCTGTTCTAGGCATTAAATGCCAAATCAGAAAAAGAACATTTTAATTAAAGTTAAACATCAAAATAGAATGTTTTGAATTCTCCCAGTCTCTATATCTATCTCTATACAAATATACACATGTATACATAACTATAAATGACAGAATATTCATACATGTGTGTATTTTGTGTAGACTCAAACACACACACACAAATCCAGCAAGAGGCATTGTCACACAGCCAATTTAATATACACTGACAACCAATCCCTGGAGTCTCTGCAAGCAAACAATTGAGCCAGGTTAGTTTAGAAAGAGGGTTTATTACATTCAATTTAATGAATAACTGATACCTATTCTCATAGAAAGAAAGGAAGTTTTTCTATTGAAATGTGGATTGAAGCTTATTTTTCCTGTAAAGAAACTCATATTTCTCTAATACTGTACCCCAAGTAGAAAACTTTGTAAAGTCCACAGTCTTCAGGAGGGTGTATGTTCTATTACCCATTTTATGTGAAGAGTGACAAAGAAAAGGCTCTCAGAAAGCAGAACCAAGGCCCAGGGTGAACAGCAGGCAGCTCTGCCCACAGTGTGTTTAGATCCCAGAACCTTAGGAAAGTTGCTAATGGGGAGGGTTGCACCTTACATAGAGATATAGACCTGGATGCAGAAGTTGGATGAAACACTGGGTCTGCCTTGTTTGAGAACTGGTTGTGTACATTCTTTTAAGAGGAAGGATGAACACAGATGTCTGGATAAATAAATGGGCAGACCATGGCAGAGAATATAGTTGTATTTTCAAACATATGTTAATAAGTTTTTAGTAAAACAGCCTCAGGTTTATTTAAGGAGGAAATACAGGAAAACAATATCATCCCACACTTTAAATTTTTTTGGATGATGGTGAATATTCTAGGAAAATACATGTGAAAACTGAGGACTATTTATGTTTGATTTTAATGTAATGTGCTATATCGTTGAGTCATATTGCTCTTTAAAAACTC